TGAATACTAAAGAAAGTGAATTTTCAACAAATTAATGGCTAGGACGTATATAGGTGCTCAAGCTACCCATTCTTGTGAAATTATGGTTGCTTACAACAAAAATTTAAGATAAAGTTTTAATAATTACCCCTAACATTACATCCTTACCATCCTAGCTAATCATAAATCAATAACATAACAATAAATAATAAGCATAAACAAAATTCTCATTTTATATCTAAAGATAACTTTCTCATATGCATCTTTGTATTCTCGTTATTTTTTTTATTCGAAACATCCACCTCTCCCAAGACATAGTTCTTTTTAGCTCTAAGTGTTGTAATTTCTATGAGCGAGTTGTTCATTCTCAAAATACCAATTCATCTTTAATTCTCTATTATCACCTTTCAATTTTGTAATTTCAATACCAAATCTCTCTTATTTTTTGTTATCAACTGCATCTATTTTTAGTAAAAAATTGGTTTTGTCTTTCTCTTATGTCTAAAATCACATCTCTTGCTCTATCTAATATAAATAGTTTGCACTATTTATAAAAATCACAACCAACATCATTCCTCCAATCACTTGCAGCATGAACTAGACAACATAAAAATTTGATTGTTGGGTGAAGATCACTTCATGATGTGCATTTTTGAACTCATTCTCCATACTTACAAAATATAGGGCTTCTTTCATAATCATACTTTGGTCTTTGAAGCATTCCAATACATATTGGAATAATTCATCCGATTCTTAACTCATTAGATGAACTTGGAGAATCCATTGTCTTGGTGCATTTCAAAACATCATTTTTAATGGCATTTACATAAAAAAATTACACAAATTAAAAAATTTATTACAAAATCACAATATGAAGGAATCACTAACATAAAAAAATTAAAAAACTCAACACTACTTGATTAAATCACAACTCGAAGAATGAATCAACCTAACAAAGAGAGGGATTGCATTTTGAGTGTCAAAGAAAACGAGAAGAAGAGAAGTAAAACGATGAGAATAGTAGAATAAACAAAATGATGAATGAATAGAAAGAAATGAAAAAGAGATGCTTGAGTGATAAAGAAAGAAAGAAGATGAAGAGAGAGATTAGTGTGTTTTTGTTTCTTCGATTGATCAATGATAATTGAAGAGTGAAGAATGATTAGAAAAAAATGAAGAAGAGATACTTTACCGATAAAGAAAGGAAGAAGATGAAAAAAGATATCGGTGGTTTTATTTCTTTGATTGATCATCAATAATTAAAGAGTGAAAAAAATGGGATTAGTTAGGAGAGATTTTTGTATGATTTTGGGAGTTTAGGGTTTAATAGGGGGGATATTTAGGTTTTTAAGGGATTTTTAATATGTGGGTAATTTAGGGTTTTTAATTTTTATTTCATCACTTTGTTTAATTCTATTTGAAAATAAAACAGAAAAAATAATGCCATGTGTCAAAATCATATTCATTTTTCGCTAGAAACTAACGTTGTTACTTGAAAATTTGGACCGAGAGATGCAAATTTAACATAGAGGGATGAAATTAATGAAAAAATTAGTAAAAAGACATGATTAAGACAAATAAAAGAGTATATGGACATTCGGAACTATTAACCCAAAATAAAAACAAAGAAATTGTAGATGGGTATTTTGAGAAAACTAATTTTTAACATTAATTTCCTGTCTTTACTATAGCAAATCAAAATGATTGGTCTCTAATTTATTTTTGTGTCATTTGTAGAGATTGAATTTCATTTAGAATTTAATTTTTGACACTCGAAATAGCTCAAAACGTGAGATTTTATTAAAACATCTAAAATAAATTTAGTTCATTCCTAACATATTGTTAGTGTAATTGAAAAAGTAAGGAAAGTTTTATATTCAAGTAGTGTCTATCCATTAGCTTTCGAAATGTTGGGAGTGTACAATCTACATTGAAATTTGGTTGTATTCATAAGTAAAATCATTTCATTGTTAAGAACACGTTACTTTTTCTATACGAGTAGAGAATAACCAACAATTTTGCTTGAACTTGCTACAATAAGACCTTATTATAGCTGCATATGCTCTTGCAATGGCCATGCTAGCACAATATAAACAGTCTTGGGTTTTAAGTATTGAAATTGAAATATGTAGGGATCAAGATAGGCAAGAAAACTTATTCTGAATATTGAAAGAAATTCAAGAAAATACACTGGTCACAACTCACGACCCTCAAGGTGGGGTGAATAGATATCTTCAATTTTTGGGCAAACATCAGATTAGTTCCTCAACTATATACCGATTCTCAGTTAGGTCCTCAACTATCAATTTCATTCCTAGAGTATTATATGTTTTTTTATCAAGTCCCTCATCTGTTTCCATTAATGTTTTTCTATATTTTTCAATTGAATCCCTATAGATCTATCATGATCTCTGCAAGTTTGAGCTCATAAAAATGTATAGAGACCTAACATCTTCTCTTATCTCTTCTACAAATTTACTATATGTGAATTTGATTATTATCCACATTTTATCTACTTAATATTGTATTGTATTTTTTTCCTTTTTATTACACATTTTATTATACATGATTTGTATTTATACTGTTCAGTATTTAATTAATGACATGATGCTATTTTCTGTTAAAAAAAATACATAAGATACATAGCTCCCCTGGGCTCGATTACAGCCCTACTATTTGAAACTGAAGAGCTCTTTTGTGTTCCGAAAACGTAAGGCTGCCAACTAATTGAAACTGGGCTCAATAATGATCCTCATTTATTTTGTTCGTAAGGTTGGGCCGTAGCTTCCTTCGCGTCTGGTGTTCCTCGTTCACCGTAATGTTTAACCCGTCTTCCCATCCCTTACCCTATAGTGATTGTGCCCAGATATGAATATCATATATAATCATAGTCTGTCTTTTTGGATTTTATTTCATCAGTAAAATCCTTTAATTTCTAGACTACCTTCCCTCTAAAAAGAAAGAAAGAAAGAAAAATAAATAAAGAAATTGGAGACCAGTACTATACATTCAACCAAAGAATATGGTAGGTATAAAAGTTTCCATCATTGAATTGTCATCTCTTTACATTATCAGATTTCGAAGAACGAAAGAAATTGTAGTATTTCATGATGGCACACAAGCAGACTTGTGAACAGGATTAATAATGTTCCATTCCATGTCACCTTTTGCGTACATTTGGATTATGAGTGCCAGTAAGCTGGAAATATTGAACAGTAAGGTGGATCCCATCTCCTACATTATGTTATGTTATGTTATATTCATAAGGTTAAAAAAGGGTGGGGGTGAACTCTTGATTCACATGCCACGCCTCGATTTCCTCTAAAGAATAATTGAATTGAAATTCTCATGTCGCTCACTTTCAATTATGGGTTATTCCATGGTGAAAGAAGGCACTAACTTTCCAAAATGAGAGCCCTTTTGTACTTTACCCTTTTCGTGAAACTGAAGCTTCCTACTAAACGGTCAAATTGCTTGAATGGGATCATCATCTTGTTCTGTCTTTATATGAACAATATTCATAATCACTGTTTAAGCTACAAAAACACCTTTTTTTTTTTTATCCCTCTTCATTTGTTGTGGGCGTGAAAGACAGAGACTAAGGAGAAATTGGGGTATGGATCACAAGCCTCTTATCCTGATGCGACATGGTCCATTTTTAATGATAGATATGATCACTAAATTGATGCCTCCACTATCTCTGCTGTAACAATTAACAAATACCAACAAAGAAGATAAATTCTGGTCATGTGATGTGTGTATTGACATGGTCAACAGTTCATCTTTTCAAGTTTTTAACCTTTTCCTTTTTAGTTCTTTTTCTGTGGTTGCTTCGGCATTTGGCAAACACCTATCTCTATAGAATGTATTCCTCTCCTCCCCCTCGGCCACATTAGCCTCTCTTTACTAATACATTGGTAAAGCAAAATGAGAAATACTGGCAAAAAGTTCGTGGGCAGAACATGTGATTTGGCGAATGCCAGCAATTCGATCCCTACTTGATAGATTTTGATTCAAGCAGAGTCTATTTTCCAATGAAGGTGCGAGCAACCATGAAAAAGAAAAGATGAAAGTAGATTCTTCATTCTCCAATTTGCCCAGTGAGGATCTACTGTAAACGAAAAATAAATAAATAAATAAGAATTATTTAACATAGCAGTTTACCAGACAATCGAGTAGGGGTGAAAAAATGAAGGATTTTAAGGGGAGTTCTATTCGATCCCTTGATTAAAAATTATGTAAATGAAAGTAGATTTTTGTGATAATTAAATGGACAACAAATTATTTACCCATAAGTGATGGTTTGGTATTGTTGTGTTTTTTTCAAATATATAAATATATATATATTTTATAGTCTAGCAGTGGCATGTGTATTGATGCTGCCAATATTTATTTATTTATTTATTGGTAAGATATGGAGTGTTTATTTGATACTTTATATTGCTAACGAAGCTTATCAATTGCCAAGTGGCTTATCGCCTAACAAACATAATTTCGAGATTTACAGAATGAATGTGATGTTGCTATTTGTAACGCATGACCTGATGGGAAATGAAATACTATCCCTCTACCAAAATAGTTGAATTATTATTTATTTGTCAAGAGTCCATATATACTATATGTATGCTGAGTTCCTAACACCTAAAAGAAGACTCCCAAGTCAAGTCAAATAAATGTTAACAGTGACAGAAAACAAAACGCAAAGCAGCACACTTTAAGTTTCCCACCCAAAAAAAATAAAACATAATAGTAATAAGATAGAAAGAGAGCAGAAAAGAGAAAACTTACCAAACCCTGAAATTTCCCTCTTTTCCCCATCTTGAATAACAAAACCGTCGCTTCACCCCGTTCTTCATCATCAGATCAAATCCAAACAACTCACGTCTCTTGTTTATCGCCCGCAACCTCCCCAATACAAATACCGAAACCCCCACTCTCTTTTCTTCTATAACTGACCCTTCTCATCACTCTCCTTTTTTTTTTTTCCGTTAATTAATTTAGTATTTCCTATACGTATCTTAATGGTTACTGGTGGGGCCCACCTGGAAGATGGAGACAGGCACCCCTTGTCGGCTACTAGAGGAGGAGGAGGAGGAGGAGCCACCACGGGGTCTTGGGTGTCTGGCCAATCGGTGTCAACCAGCGGCAGTGTGGGGTCTCCATCCAGCAGGAGCGAGCATGCCATGGCCACTCCTGCCAGTGACAACACTTTTTTAAGGTTGAACCATCTCGACATTCACGCCGATGATGCTGCGACTCAAGATGCCGCTGCGTCAGTATTCTTCTCCTCCTTCTTACAATTACCAATCATTCATGCTGATTTTTGTTCATTGGGTTTTTGTGCTTGAGGGTTTTATATGTGCAGAATTTTTATTAAATTATCTTGTCTGTGAAATTTTCCCCGTTGTTTTGATGATTGAATTTGGTAATTGTTGTTCCTATTGTATGCCATTGTATAGTAATTGCACAAAATTGTTAAGTTTATAGTGATTTTTCTTTGCTAACTTTGTGCCTCAATTTGGGAGTCTTGAATTGTAATACAAATTGTGAATTTTAGCTTGCTTCGAACATGCTTGGATTTTGATTTAATTGTCCAAGAATGAGTTTATTGCAAGGCTTGAAGTTCGTTTATTCATGAACAGTAATAAGAAGAAAAAGAGAGGTCAACGGGCAGTTGGAGCTGATAAGAGTGGTAGAGGACTTCGTCAATTTAGTATGAAAGGTAATTCATTCATTTCTTCTAGTATATTCAATTTGTCATACGCAGTTTTACCTAGCTGACTTCATGATTTTACCGTTTTCGCTGGTGCCCAGTTTGTGAAAAGGTGGAATCCAAAGGAACAACCACATACAATGAGGTCAGCTGGTTTCTTGAAGTCATTTTTCATTTTTGTTTTTCACGCATGAGGCTCTTTTTTTTTTATGGTTTGCTGGAAAGGCTTGTTCTTATGTATAGATGATCTACTTGTAGCACTGTAAATTTCCCATGAACTATTGTCCTTACTTCAAGGCATGCAAAATGATACGCAGGGTGTTGGCTATTCTTCTTCTTATTGTATTACCATAGACAATTAAAATATATATGCTGCCTTGGTTTCCAATAGCACGGAAGTAAGCTGTTCTTGGCATGTTAAATGAGACGAGAATTTAGTCATTCCAAACTATGGTTATTGAATGTGCGATTTATTTATATAAAAGCGACCATCCAGAGGTTAATTTTACCATGTAATAGCATCAGCTAGATATCATTTGAAGTATACTAATGCTTCTGCTTTATCCTAAATGTTATTCTATAGAACTTCGAGGATGTTGCTTTCTCTAGATACTCTGGTGCTTCTATACATTATTTTATGGTTACCAGGTAAAGGCATCTTTCTGAGGTTAGTTAGGAGTTTAGGTTTGAAAAGCAGAGGCAATACCACTAGATGGTGGTAGGGATTCAGCTCATTGATTTCAGATCCCCAGCAACATATTTGTTTTGTGTTGTAGCTGTCAGATTAAGTTCCTTGATTCTTGATTGAGGATAAATTTTAAACTACTCAATTGATATTTTAGATTGAATGGCATTGACTAGTAGTCAAGTGTTTATAAATTTCATCTGGTCTATTGAGCATGATGTAGCAGAGAGAAGTTGAAGTTTTTAGATTTGTTGGCAGTACACAGCAATCTATCTATCAAACACCATTTCGGGGTTGATCATGGCATAGTTTTTGGGCTAGACACTCCACTACTTTGCTTTGGATGTTGACAGGAGGGATGGGATGAGAGATGGGGTGTATGTTCCCATGCATCAGGCCATTAAATGAATATCTGGAGACACTGAAAGATTGTTTCTCCTTTTCCCTTCCCAGTTGAATTTCAGACCTTTAAGAACTTAGAATGTTGTCATAACCCTCAATGTAGACAAACTGGATCAATCATGAATTGAGCTTCCTGATGATTGCAGTCAGGAACTTTTATACCTTGTCAATACCCTTTTAGATCTTGATGCAATAGTTGAATGCTTTCTAGGTGACTATTGTGTACAAGCAGATATTTTCTTGATTAGGAATTTGTTTTTATCTGCTTTGATTTCATAGGCATGCCCCATTAAAGTTTCTGGAATATCCTTAAGTTCTAATGTTTTTTTGTGTACCAGAATTGATGCCTTTTATGTCTTTGTATTTTATTTCTATAATCATTGTAAGTTCCTGTACCTATGTCTGAGAGTTTGAAGTAATTCTCAGGTAGCAGATGAACTTGTCGCAGAGTTTGCTGACCCTAGCAATAGTGTTTCTACCCCAGATCAGGTTACCTATTTTGTCATCTAAAATTATTGTCCTTTTTTTTTTTTTTTTTTTTTGTATGTCTTTGATCTTAAAGGCAAATTTGAAACTTGACTGTGTTGATCCATTTTCTTTTATTGTATTAATTTCATTTGGCAGCAGCAGTATGATGAGAAAAACATACGGCGGAGGGTGTATGATGCTCTGAATGTACTCATGGCATTAGATATTATATCCAAGGATAAAAAGGAAATACAGTGGAAAGGTCTCCCCGAACTAGCCTCAGTGATATTGAAGAATTAAAGGTATGTGCTTAGTCTTGTGTGTCAAGTGAAGTGACTTTTGACTTTGTGATCTAACATGACCTTCTCCAACTTTTTGAATATGACCAGGCTGAGCGTCTTGGATTGAGAAATAGGATTGAAAAGAAAGCTGCCTATTTGCAAGAACTGGAGGAACAAGTGAGCATAGCTATTTGAGCACTCTTATGGTTTGAATTTGTAGCTAGATACATGCACTTAGGCATTTTCCTCTTTACTATAGATGTAGCTCCTTGGCATTTGTTACTGACTTCTTGTCTTGTCAAATCAAGTTCGTTGGTCTTCAGAACCTGATACAGCGAAATGAACAACTGTACAGCTCAGGAAATGCTCCTAATGGCGGTGTGTCATTGCCTTTTATTCTGGTGCAGGTGAAATTTTTCCTCAATTTATTTTGCACGTATGGCCATAAACTAGTTTAATTTTAAAACTATTGGACTTGCAACCCAAAGGATGTAGCTTCATGGTTTTACCCTGTGCAAAATTGCAATTGGATTCTCAAAACTCTCTAGTTCGGTGAGGCCATAATTAAGCGATAGCTTTTTAATTTTCTTGTTGTCTTTTTTCCATCCATCCTACTAGATAAAAAGATTTATTGACATTTTACTTTAGAAGAGTCTCAAATCTGAAAAATGGTTTCTTTTTCAGCTGTTATTCTGTTAATACAATTTGTTTGCACTGCAGTCACCAGTTGCCTAGCTTCGCTAAAAATTTTTAGTTTATGCATCCCATATTGCAGTCAGTAGACTCAGTATTCAGCAATTGTTTACCTTCATCATTTAGCCAACATTTTGATTATTAGGTGTGTCTATTGGCATGAACCCAAACACACCTTTTATTTTCACTGGGAGAAAAAAATATACTTTTCCTAACCGATACTTCAACTTCTCTGCCATGCAAATGGTGCTATGCACCTTGATCTTTGATCTTTGTTCTTGCAAGCAAGTCTTCAATGTCCTGATCCATTGGTGTGATAATAGATGGCTTATTGAATTTGCAGGATATTATGGACAATGTAAGTCATGTTTCTAAAATTTTCAAGTTTAGAAGTCCACTGTTCAATTAAAAGTATACTTCCCTAACTGATACTTTCAACTTTGCCATGCAAATGGTGCTATGAACCTTGATCTTTGGTCTTTAGTCTTGCAAGCAAGTATTTAATGTCGTGATACATTGGTGTGATAATAGATGACTTATTGAATTCACAGGATATTATGGACAATGTAAGTCATATTTCTAAAACTTTCAAGTTTACAAGTCCACTGTTCAATTAAAAGTACGTTATCTGGTTTGCTCTGTTTATTCACTATTCATTTCTGAGATCGGTAGGTTCCAATTTATGCACCCTTGTGTGGGAGAGTAATAGGTGAGAGAAATTATTGAGTTGGAGAATCCAGTTGTTGTCTGCACTTGTGTTTCCCTTCTATTTGTTCTTGTATTTGATATGCATACAGACCTGATAGGTAGGATAGGTTTGGGATAATGAGAGAATGCAAGTTTTCTGTAGCTGGATATAAGCTTTATAGGGTTAAATTGACATTTACCTGCAGGCAGTTGCAAATAGATCAGACAAGTCTTGATGAGTATTTATTTTCTTGCTTGCATGTCATAAAAACACACGCAAATAAAAGCATGCTACGATTACTTTGAAATCCACTCTGAATATAGTAACTGACTGGATGTGGAGGAGGATGGTGGAAAGAAGAGACCTTAAAATTTGCGTGTTGAGAAGATTGAGAAATGTCACTCCCACTTTGAATAGGAAGAGGGAGGTAATATCTGCAATCTATGAATAACTGTCATTGAAAGGTTTTGCAGTATGGAAGGTTTTTATGGATTTATGGTATGATAATTATAAAGATTTGTGCAGTAGATGCCAATTTCAGATGATGGAGAGATGGGTGAATAAAGAGAGCCGTTTTTAGTGGCTAGCTGCAAATAATTGGTGATGGAACTTTGCTGAGGTAGAGCATGTGTTAATGTATCCACATTTTTTATGTGAGTTACACTTATGCTCTGGAAATTTAAGAAAAGCAAAGCCTTACAATAGATAGCCATTGCTTTGATAATTGAGAATTGTTGTTGAGGACTTAAAAATTCACTTTCATCACCTTCTAGGTCCTTTTCCTGTATCCTCTTGCATTGAATATTCCCTAGTAGATTTTAGGGTTATGTCTCAAATCTATTCTTTGTTCTGCACTAATGGTCGGATGAATGTGGTGAACTAGGATTTCAAGCAATAGAGAAATTTTGTTCAGCAGCCCCCCAAAAAAAAAAAAAAAAAAAAAAACATTAAGTGATCTTGGGTTATTGGTGCAATTAACCTCTCATATGAGCAAAAACAATAATTTTATGCATTTGTCCAAGTTCACAATTAAGTTTACTAAAAAAACAAAAAAAAAAAAAAAAAAAAACATTTGCAAGTTGGAGCTGTTACCTATGTGGGTAAAAGTCTTACTTGAGTTTGTAAAGCAAATATTATCAGGAAGCATGCTTATGGTTGGAAATATTTTACTTGAATTGTACATGCATAGACCATAAAAATTGCAATATCTTATGATTTCCACTACTGGATATGAAATCACATTCTTTTTATGATGCCTCACCTTTTTTTTGGCATTTGGGATCTGCAGACACGCCCTCATGCAACTGTTGAAGTGGAGATATCAGAAGATATGCAGCTTGTTCACTTTGATTTCAATAGGTAAGAATGCCCGTCAGCTCCTCACTTTCTCAATTGTAAAGCTGGTAACTCACTTACACTTGGTACCTGCATTGGCATGACATAATAAGTGTGTTGAGCTGCTACACCATATGACTTTGGAATAATTTAGTCAAAGCACAGCATTGTGGCCAACTGGACTTGAAATCTGCAAAGAATGAATTAAATTACTTATCAGAGATGTGAAGGGGCTCTGGATAAGCGTTTCATCATTATGCAGAAACAGAGACCACTTTCAATTAGCAACTAAGCACTTTTGAACAATGTTTTTCGCTTTTTCCCCCATAAGTAAATTTGAAGTTATGCCATTGATAACACATTTTTATCTTACTCTGTTTGTAGCACTCCTTTTGAGCTCCATGATGATAATTATGTTCTCAAGGCAATGAAATTTTGCGAGAGACCCCAGAGTGATGATATGGCACCCAATCCAGCTGCTGATGGAGGTGAGGGTTCTAGCATGTCCAACATCTATCAACCACAAATCCTTACTTCCCCACGGACAAACACCCCAGTTCGGCCACCTACCTCTCCTCCTCTTCCTGGAATCATAAAAGCACGTGTTAAGCATGAGCATTGAGTTGTGCTCAATCATCTGAACCGTGGGCAATAACATCAGCTGTGTCTGTATATTGTGTAAAGTAGTTTGCTGTAGATGGGTGCCTGTGCCTCCCTATAATTATCCCCAGTCACAGTTTGCCCTTGTTAGGAGGAACTGAATTAGCAAGCAGATCGGTCCATTTGCTTTGAGACTTCATTGGAACACTTGGTTCTGTCAAGCTCTCAGCTTTAGATCCATTATCTGCTTTCGTAATTCACTTGGTTCAGTCAAGTTCTCAGCTTTAGATCCATTTTTTTTTCCCTGTTATTTTCTTCCCATTGTAGCAAAATTTAGTTTAGTTTGTATTAGGCTACATAGGATTGTCCAGCCTTACACAGAATGATAGAATTAATTCAATCTTCAAGAATCTGATGTTCCTTATATGCAGCGTTACAATTATTTCTTTCCTGTTATTATCATTCTGGCATCCAGTTCTATTTTTATTCAATTCAATGGCAGATGTATAGCCAAAAAAAAAAATCAATCAACGGTAAATACTCGGATGGAACAAGTTAGAAGGCGATCTCCATCTTTATCCGTTGGTTGATGGCTGAAGCGCAAACCCTACAATTTTATGCTTGCAACAGATCTAGAGACTCACAATGTTTCTTTGTTCACTCATCTTCGAACATTTATTGTGTCCTGCCACAGTTTTAGCTGGCTATGTTCTGTTTGTCTCTTTCTCCAGTATATTAGGGCTTATCTTATTCCCCTGCTTATTTTCCCTAGCCTTCTGGTCCCATAGGCCATGCCATATCAGCCTCGAGATGGGTTCTGTTTCCCTTGGTCTGAATATGATTTGATGGTGCATTTGGTCCCCTTACTCTTATTTTTGTCTTAGTTTGGTGTATTAATTTTTTTTTTTAAGTTACCTTTCTGCTCATCCTATTTTGTTAACTCTAGGTCCTTCCATTAACTGCCTCACGACTTGAAATAAATCATGTCGTTTAAGTGCAGCAGATGAGCCACGTGCCCTTTAGAATTAAGAAAATAAGTTACAATTCAAATTTTAGTGAAAAAAGAAAGGAACTGAATTGGATATATAAGAAAAATGAAATATTTTATAAAACAGAAAGGACAAAAGCTAACGATGCATTAATTAGGCAGTATTTGTTGCGGAATTGAGTTTATTTTTATTTTTTTTTCAAAAAACAAAAAAAAGAAAAGAAAAGAAAAGAAGAAGAGGAATTAAATATGTGGCAGATGAACTAAATAAAAAACAAATTCTTTTCATTTTCTAAATAAAAAATATTTTTATGATTTTATATTTTCACCAATAAAGTAAAGAGACAAGAACAATCACATAACATATAGATTTAAGTAATTCGGTAATTGTGTCTACTTGACGATTGCACTAGGATTTCTTATTAGGCTTTATCAAGTAGTGATTATAAATATAAGTGATGTTGCCTCTATTTATTATATAGTGTGAACAACTAAGGCTATATAAAAAAAATCTATCAGACCTATATCCTTGGCCCAATATTCTGTAGATCTTTCGGAGGATTTGCCCTCAAGCTCTTGTAAGAAGTATTGTCCCTTTAATCTTCGTTCGCTAACCGGCTAGCGAGACCACCGTGTACGTAGCATCTTATATTGCAAGCTTCTATCCACGTCAATAACCACAATTTAACGAACTATTTGTCAATTTGGTGTTTAAAGGGCAAAAGCTACACTATTTTGATAATAAAGTTTAAAAATACCTTGTTTGAAGAAATAAATTTTTCAAGTATGTTGGTTAGGGAAAAAAAACTCCATTTTATATGGTAATTTTTAAATTTTTATAATAAAGTAAAGATTATAAACATTAAATGATTTATAAAAAATATTATCCTAAGATCACCTATTCATTGGTTTATAAAATAGAAAAATTACATGAGAAGATCATTGGATCCTATTTAGAGTCGGTTACACATGCCAGAATCCTTACTCCTGACTTACGAACTAAAGAGTGAATAACAATAATTAACTAAGCTTATGTTTCGTTTGATTTTTACAAATTGATTTAATTTTTTTTAATCTTTTGATTCAAAGAAAAATCATAAGTATATTTGCTTAGAAATAACTTTTGATTGAAATAAAACAGTTATCACAAATTTGAGTCAAAATTTTGTCTTAATTGAAAATTAAAATTTTTAAATTTTTGACTTATAAATTCCAATTTATATTCCATTGCTTTTTTTAAAAAAAAAAACTGTTTCAAGTCATTTTACCAAACATAATTCTAACATAAAATCATTTTAATTCATTTTTTTCATAAATTATTTAATGAAAATAATTTTTGAATTATAACTCAAAATAAAAAATTATCTTTCACAAGTTATGTAAAATTACAAAAATCTAAAGCACAAGCCCCTTTAACTATTCATTTCATTATATCTCATGGCTTAGGTTTCCTATTCCTTTCTCTGTTCCTTCAATAGTGTTTCCTTTTTCTTTTAAGATAATTTTTGCTCCTCTTTTGTTTTTCTAATAACATTTTTGCCATTGTTGCCTTTGCTCTCTATTTGTGCCTTCTTATAGCTCTGCATCAGTCGTTCTTATCTTCTCTTCTTCCTCAATCGCTCTTATCTTTTTTTTTTTTTCTTATTGCTTTTAGCTATTTATCATGCTTAAGTCCTGCTACTTTGTTTGCTTTTCCTCACCTCCAACTACCGTGGTGGAATTTTAGAGCTCCTCTTTATTATTACTGGAGTTTGTAGGTTTGTTTTTTTCTCGCCATAATTACCTTATACATTAGGTGGGTTTTCAATGTTGTTGTCATATCTTTGTTAGGGCTCGGTGTTGGTAGATTTATTTAATTTCTTGGCTTCATTTGGCTTACTTTTTTTCTTTTTTTCTCCATTCATCTTCGAGGTCTGTTTAGTTTCGTTAGTCTTTGCTGTTGTGGCTGCGTTGCAGCTACAGTTGTTACTTCATGTCCTTTAATTGTGAGCAAATGGTTGCTTTTTGTCTCTGGCTCTTGGGTCCTTAAAGAATCGATTTCTCTTTGCTTCCTTGATCAGCTAATGACATTTTTGTCGATTTGTTGATTTAATGGTATTCAAGTTTTGAGCTTAGCTGGTTTATCCTTCGACTTTGTTTTGTTGCAATAAATTGAGTTAGTTTTCTTTTTTTTGTTGGTCAGCTATAGTTAGTTTTGATTGCTTTTGTCTATTTTTTCTTCGTCTATTCCTAACTTGCTGTTTTTTTATCTATTTGTCTTTTCCTCTTCCTTATAAATTACTTTCCTTCTTTGTGCCTTTTCTTCTTCTTTACTTATTTTTAATCACTACTCCAGGCCTTTCCTCTCTTTGCTTCTCTTTCAATGACCTTTGTTTCTGTTGTTGTCATGAATTTTCTTGCATGCTTTTCCTTATTCTGGAATAGCTATATCAACCATTTTTTTTTATCTTACTTACAAGTTGTGATATTCTTCTTTTGTTGTGCTTCTTTGTGCACTCTTTCGTTTTTTGGTTCTTCATTTTCCCTTTTCTTGTTATTGTTGTTTTTCACACAACTTTATGGTTGTTGTTTCAAGTGTTTTTTTTTTTTTTTTTAAGATTATGGATTGCTATTCTCCTTTTTGTCATTATTATTCATATGTTCTTTGTGTGATATCTTCTCTCTTTCTCCCACTCATAGTGTTCATTGTTATTGTTTTTGAAACAAGTCAGAGTTTGTTAATTGTTTTCCTACTCATGATGTATTTACGAATCATCATCCCATTTAAAATTAAGGATGTCTTATTATTGCTGTTGTTAGAATGAATTTGGCTTCTTAATCACTTTTTGTCTTTCTTTGTGTAGGTTTCATTGAGTTCTTGACCGTTTCTGTTGATATTGTTTTTTTCTTCATAGGTACTACCCCTTCCCCAGTGTTTCTAAGGTCATTTTGGCCTTTCTATGTTTTTTGTAAAGTCTATTTTATTGTGCTCATCATTGCCTGATGTCAAATGATTATTGTCTTTTTCGTTGTTGACCAATTGATTTTGTTGTCAATGGCAGAATACTGTCTGAATTTTTTTGTTTTCATTTTGTCAATCCATGTGTGCACTCTAGTATTTTCGTCTTCTGTCATCTATTACAATGTTTAAATGACACATTTCCTTCTCTTACATTTTTGAAATGTCATGTTTTGAATAGATATTCTACATTGAGAAATAAATCATGTATTTCATCATTACATGTTTTGTTGTTAATTTTTCCAATGTTTTGCTTTTCATTTCATGTTTAGATTAACCTTTAATATTTCTTTCATGTTTCATTTCGTTATATACATGTCTTTGACTTGCTAATTTGATACTGTCGACTGCCTTTTTCTCTTATTATGTAGCTTCTTGTTGGTATTCTAAACATATTGCTTTTCACTTGACAATGATTGTAGGTATGCTTTTTAGATGTTTTCCCCCCAGTTAGGTAGTTATTGTTTTAAATTAAGTTTTGATGTTTTTTTTAAAATATGTGTTTTTTGAATTATGTTTCATTTTTTCTTCCATGCCGTTTTTCCTTATACACATGTCTTTGAAACATTTGCCACACCCACGTGTATATCTTTCTTTTCTTTTCTAGTGGTCCTGACTTCCTTCTTCTTTATATATATATAATTGCCATTTTACCTCCATATGCAAAGCCAAATGTGCAAGGTCCCACCAAAAATTATATATATATATATATATATATATATATATATATAATTTAGAATAAGAGAGAGGATTCAAACTTTTGCCTATATGCCACACCCATGTGTATATCTTTCTTTTCTTTTCTAGTGGTCCTGACTTCCTTCTTCTTTCTTTTTCACCTTTACCTTTTCATTTTTCTTTTTCACTCTCTCTCCTGTCTTCTTTTTCTTCTTCTACAACTTCTATTTCTTTCTTTTTTTTTTTTTCAAGTCAAGAGCTTATATCTTTTTTATTGAAAAATCAAGTGAAGTGGAGATTGGGCTTTTGGATCTCAATAGAAAATCAGGTTAGTTTCTTTTTTCTTTTTTGTTTCTCA